ATTATTTCCGCCCTCCGTTACGTCTAGGAGCGTACGAGATGTTTTTAAAGTTCGGTTATGGATTACGGCGAATCAGCGAGGACATGATACATAAATATTATATAAACCAGGAGTAGGCAACATGCTTACTACATTCGATCTACTTTGTTAAACATATTATTTATCTTGTTAGCCGTAGTGGAGAAGAATGTTGAAAATATATGTCTATGTTCGTCCTTAGGATGTATGTATGTACATAAGTATGTATTTATAAGTGTGTATGTGTATAAATGTATGTATTTGATTAATTCATATATTATGTATGTGACTTTGCACTATCTACGTAGTAAACGTTCCTTTAAGCCATTGGTTGACTGGAAAAGATCACTATGAAGCGATAAGGCCGCCAAATAGTGCATTCCATAAAGAACAATGCCCATTTTTGACCTGATTGTGTATAGAGGTGAAATAAATATTAAAATTTAGCTTATTTTATTTTATAGTAATTACACTAATCAAAATGTTAAAAGAAGGTCGGGGAAAAAATAATTTTTTGATATTTCTTTACGCTTATTTTACTTCAAGGGTAAACATATTACCATGTTTTGAACGCACCTTAACAATCCTTTGCATAGGACGTTCCATTTCTCACACTACCAACTTGACTGTATTCAACTTTTTCTGAGTTTTGTACGTGATTTTACGTTTTAGAGAAGTGAGTAAGCACGTAATTAACAGTATTTGTATAAAAATTAAGATCAATCTTATTAGTAGTACAGATTTATTAAAAATAAAATAATAAATTATTAATGCAGCATGTAATAAAGTTCGCACGGCTGACGTAAATGGATTTTTTTGACATTTGACAGTTCTGCGAGTGACTCATACTCATCGGTATTCGCCAGTAATTGTGAGTATATCTCTTTATGAGAATAATAAACCAGGAATTAACAAGCTGTGATGTTGCTCAAGCTTCAGGATTATCTCAACCAGGTCGAAGAACAGTTTTTGATAATCCTTCAGAAAAGCAAAGACAGATAAATGCTATTATACAAACAAGTTCACAACATCACATATTCATATTTATCATTGTTAATCATTTGCCAGTATAAAACTTGATACTATTACTCTAGATTATTTCTCTTTTGTATTTTAGATGTAAATTATTATATCTGTTATTAATTGACTGATGCTGTAATAATTTTAACCACAAATAAATACATAATTGATTTTTTTTAAATATATTTTTAAGATGTATAATAATTATTGCTTTATTACTTCTTTTGTAGATATCATCATCTGAAAGAATATGCCATTCATGCTGGATGAGTTGTAAGAGTGCTGGCACACATATTAGGCATGTTGCTGAAGTTTGTGGTGTTTCTACTACTGAAGATAATTTATTTTTTATGTTTCTGAGATTAATTTATTAGTGAACTTATACTATTTGCGTTAGGTACCAAATAAGGCAAGCCAAATCCTATTATGGCGAACATATTCGCTTTCATGGATCATATAGAATAGAAATATGTAGGGAGACAGGAGTTTTCTAGGAATAATCTGAGTGAAAGTGATGACATAACACTAATAAGAGGAAAAATTAAGTCCTAGCACATTTAAAGAAAACAATATTATGTCTACATTTTAATAGAAAATAATGTGTCTGGCAGAGCTAGTATAGTCGAATACTGTTGTAATTGTGTAGTTGGTTGGCAAACCATAGGATGTTGCACTCATGTTATGACTAGTGTGGTACTTCGGATGAACTATCAAGAAAATATCTCTGTTATAGCAGAATTTCTGGATAACATAGTTATAAGACATTTAAGTGAAGATGATGATAATTAATAAAGCATTCCACTGTGACATAGTGTTTTATTTTTTCCCTTGTTTTATTCATCAGGTATTATATTATAGATTATTATGTATTGTAGTGCAGGCCAATAAAATGTGTAGGGCAGATAAATGATCACTTTTAACTTACGTTTTTTAAGTAGGTACTTATGTGAGTGGTTGAAATAGCGGATAATGCTCTTGAATCAATTTATAGTGACAATAATCGAGTAAGCAGTGACGTAAGGGCAGTCGGTTTCTAGGAATTCACAAGTAAAAAAGACGTTTTAGACCTTAGATAGGCTAATATTATTATTTTAGAGTAAACTTGAGCGTAAATAGTTAGTTCTAGCACATTTATTTCGTTATATTAGGTAACTGCAAATCCTAACCTAAAAAGTAACATTTTTTAATAATTTTTGGACTTCGTAAACCAGCAATCGTAAAAATGACTATATGATATTAATTTACTAACTTAAAGGTAGTTTTTCTGCTATACCTTGTAACTATACATACACTTTCATTACCAGGTTTTTAAATGTATGGGAAGTGGGCATTGTTCTTTGTGTGACTATTGTTAATTTTGTGTATCCTTTTATGTGTGGTGTACAATAAAGTATTCATTCAAGAATGTTATGAAATGTGTTACGTTTGGGGTCCTAATTAAATTCTATTAAGCTTAGAAAGAATCTATTACTATATTAAAATTCTTTGTGATGTTTAAGAGTTGTTCTTCACCCCTGAAATATACAGCAAGAAACACTTTCAATGATCCCAGCAAAGAGGGTGGAGTGTATTTAAAGGTATTCCAAGCTTGAGCATCTTTGATATTTTATCCATTTCCTTTTAACTTATTAAGGTTGAAAAGATTTATTCTCATTTCGCTGCATCAAAGTCGGAGGTGAACATTCCAACTCGACGCTACTAGAGTGATGAAACGTACTTTGTTCGGAGGATTTTTTATTAGTATGTCTTATTTTATGTCTATTTTATATATCATTTGTTGGCTATATATCTTCTTGCCGTGGTAGCTCAATGTCCGGCCGCTCGCTTTCAATTCAATATACTCGAGCAACCCGAGTTCGATCTCCGGTGCCGACACCAATGAAATTGTTTATTTAGCGTGGTGGAATATGCTCTCTGTACAGAGGAGGCCTTTGTCCAGCCGTGGGACAAGTAGGTACAGACTGTTATTTAATTTTACTTTAATAAGTACATGGATATGATTTGGCATACGCATGATTCTTTCCCAACTAATCACATTAGTATGTAAAAAAAGAATAATGTTTTGAATAAATCGTTAAAAATAATACGAAAGTCAAAACAACATGGCGTATTTTGTTTTTTAACTGTCCAAAGCTTTCGCCCTAACAACTCGACCAAGCAACGGTCCAAAATGAAATTGACTTAAGAAATAAATTTGAAATAACAAACAAAATGAATCCGTTTCCTTGAATATTTTCAAGGAAACAGATTCATTCCAAGAGAAATTCATCGTTATTTCTTTAATCGGTAAACACAATACTGAACAGAATTCTCAAAAGAGAACCTTTTGCGTTGAGATCGAAACCTCTCGAAAACTTGGGCGTACCGTTGCCACGCGTCATGGAGGCTGTCACGTTTGAAAGGTCGGAAATAAGTTGTCGGCGCCCTTTGCGGGCCTGGACAGTTGCGAGTTGTTTGTCGATATTGAAATGCTCATTCCGCGTTTGATTGAAACGCCCCTTCAGAGCACAGTTTGTTTTGATGTTCCGTCTGGAGGGAGGGAAATGGGTTTCGCATTGGAGAGAAGAAACGTCACAGAACCTAATAGAGTATATATATATATAGTCAGAGTTTCGTTTGGCATTGTTGTTAAAAGGGACGCAAATAAATGCGATGCGTTCGGACGCCTTTTTCAACCGACATCAAAAAAGGAGGAGATTTTCAATTCAACTGTATTTCTTTTTTATGTTTGTTACCTCTGAACTTTCGACTGAGTAAACCGATTTTGATGATTCTTTTTTTTTATTTGAAAACTGGTACTTACCACTTGGTCCCATGTTAATTTCATTGGCATTCGACCTTGGGTTCCGGAGATACGTATAGAACTCCAGAAAATCAATTATAAAATGAATACAGATGTTTGGATTCAAAGAAAATTCAAGCTGCTAACTAAACTAAAGCAAGCCCGCAATAAACTAAAAAAACCGGTCAAGTGCGCGTCGTGCGTGAGCACGAACGGTTCCGTACCATTATCTATAAAAACGGCAAAAAATCATGTCTGTTGTATGGGATCCCCACTTAAATATTTTCTTATTCTGTTATTCGCTATTATAGCGGCAACAGAAATACATCATCTGTGAAAATTTCAGGTTCATGAGATTCAGCCTGGTGCAAGACGGTCAGACAGACAGACAGCGCAGTCTTAGTAATAGGGCCCCTATTTATCCTTTGGATAGGGAACCCTAAAAATAGAATAAAATATTATCTGTTATAAACGATAACTCAATTTCTACCGATGGTAAGTGACATATACCTATATCCGTCTTAAAAAATCGATAAAGTGTAATTTTGTAATCGTTTAAAGAATAAGACGGTAAAAGCATTTGACGTTAAAAGACTATTGCGTTTTAAATATTAAAAATTTATACGGTCAAATTGAGAAACGAAAGAATTTTTTGAAGTAAAAGAATTCAAATATCAAAAGTAACGCAACATTTTCTCTGTCTACCCCCGTGGAGATTAGGCGTAAACATTAGAGATTAGCTGTGTAAGATAAAGCGTCTTTAAATTCGCTGGAATTCCTCGCCTTTGAAATGCTTAAGAGATCATTGCGTCGATTCTTTTTTTTATTGCTTCATTTTTTTTTATTGTTATAAATTTGTAAAAGTTTACAAAATTTCTGTAAAATTCATTAAGATTTTAATGTTATCATTAATTCCAATAAAATTTTCACTTCATTTGGAAATTAGTCAAAGTTAATAATTATGTATTATCGTTTGCTTCTCAGAATCTCAGGTCGATTTAATTTTGAGAGAGAATTATGGTATAAATATGCATAAAAAAGAATTAAATAACTTTGAAACTGGTTTAGCTGCGTACATTAATAAAATGGGTGCCATCAATATTTAGTACATGTTATCTATATAAAGTCTAAAAACATGAATTTTTCAATAGGACTAGAATTTTGAAATAGCGCCACCTACCTTATCATCGTCGAACTTCTCGACGTGGTCGTCGCTGCACCTCACTTCGCGCTTTTCACGCGCGCTGCGTCTCACAACAACCGGGGTCTGCGGCGGCGACGCCAGCGCCACACTGTTCCTAGCGCTGCCCGGCGGCGACTTTATGAACTCGATTTTGCCGCCCTCCACACAGATGTTTGGCGTGAGAGGGTACATGGGGGACATTGCCACGTTTGTATTGGCCAAATGGCTGTACATCTGATTGTCTTCTAGTGGTAGTGATTTGGGCTTCGCCTTTTTACGGTATGTAGGCTCGTAAGCGAGAAACTGCGCTTTGTCCTCCGGGTGCACTTGACGGACCTTCCCGGGAGGCCGGTCGGGTGGCTCTGGTGAAACGCTGCCGTCGTCGGTGCCGGGGCTCTCGTTTCTTTCATTGTTCGATACCCTGTAAGAAAAGACATTAATTATTTTCCTATCTAAATGTACAACCAATATTCAGAAATCCGAAAACTGCCCTCTACTTGTATTAGGATTGAATTATTACGTTATTTTCCGCCAAGACAAACTAGATGGCGCTGTCATACGTTCATTTCATTTAGAAAAAAATTGTGTGTTTATTGAAATAAGCTAAAAAAATGGTCAAAATAAAACAAATTTCTTTAAAAAAACTTAATAAAACAATAAAAGTTAAATTCGGTCAAATGTAACAAATAATACGCGTTTTATTTCACAAAAACCGGCCGAGTTCTGAAACACGCTAACGAAGTTTTCGTCGTCGCTCGATATATATACCGCGCCGGCCAGTATGACTGCTGGAAGTGTATTCTTTAGTGTGATGCCACTACTGTTCCATGGTCGGTAACGGATAAAAACGTTGATCTCTAACAGCACGTGACGTCACGCGTTCGTTGCAAGGCGACGCTCCTTGTAATGTGCGCCGCGGACGATCGCCCGCGCGGCTGCGACGGACCAGCAGCGCACGTTCCTTGGGCAGCCTATGAACCTCTTTACGCGGTTTTAGTTAACTCGTTAGCTTAGCTCCGGTTAAATTTGAGCACTTCCATACTGTGGCGACGAGAGAAACACTCGATTGCCAGCTTTTTGCAATAATATATTAACAAGATTATTTAATGTCAAAATTACTCTACCTATTTAATGTACATTTAATCGTTCATTATTATTATATTAATAACTATAATTCATTATAAATAAAAATAATTTTTTTAGGTTATAGACGTGTATTTTGATACATGTAATAAATTATTAATTTAAAGCTTTTTACGAAGTTTATCTATTATAGTGTTTAGCTTCAGATTTTTTGTAGCTTTTTCAACTGGATACATCATAATAAGCTCTTTGGTTAAAGCGAATGTTTTAAAGGCGTTTACGAAATGTAGTTTTTAAAAATATTGTAAAACAAAAAAATTATATGAACACAATAATAATATTGTGTTCATATAATGTAAAATATACTAAGGGGTTGAATGTTTATTTTAATCTTTTCAATGTATATGGAATTTTTCTAATTTGCATAACATTTATAGAGGAAGATGGTGCTCTTACGTTTTAACATGGATACAGTTTCAATTGCTAATTGCTTTAGAGAAGTTTAAGTCGAAGGATAATTTGTACCTAAAATGGGAAATAATAATAGTTCGTGTGCTTAGCAAGTTTTCTATTTCATGTACTTGAAAATTAAACTTTTATTAACTGAAATTTTTTTAGAAGCTATTTATTATAACAATTTTATACACGTCATTGAAAAGATTGTTGTAAATAACTTAGCTCTTTATAGTGTTTTTAATGCGGGTCTTTATTTTTTGACAAGCAGTAAATTCGAAATTTTTGAAACTGCTGATTAAATATTAGCCTATTTTCTACCGAAAAATTTTACCGCAAATCGCTGAAAGTCAAAATCAGTGCAATATTTCAATAGAAAATCCAGTTTTCAAAAAAAAATTACATTAGAAGATTAAAGAGAGAAGAATAGGTCGTACTATAACGTCTCACAAATTGCTATACCCTTCTTTAAGGTCCGAACCCGAGAATAAATTTAACTTAAGACATTCAATTAACGTTAGCAATCGACTTGCAAACGTGTCTCGGTTCCCAACCGAGAGCAGAGTTGCAGAGTCGTTAGCGTCGTAATTGTTGGAATAGAAAAAGAAAACCGAAAGGAACACACGAACGGACAAGCATGCCCGCGAATAGAATGACTTAATCGAGCGAAACAACAAAAGCAATGCGAACCACTGCAAGTTTACGAATGTTATTTTATCTCACTCCCGAGTCGGTCGGTTCTTATCGCCGTTTAATACGTTCGCGGGACTATGTCGACGATAGCGTCGTTAAGAAATGCTACCGATGGATAAATAAAACCGGCCAAGTGCGAGTCGAACTTACGCACGAAGGGTTCCGTAAAATCCTTACCCCTTAATTATTTTACTTATAATATTATAAAGGTGTTTGTATGTACTGATGGATGTTTGTTACTCTTTCACGCAAATACTACTGAGTACATCATTATAACACATAGGCTATAATTCATATAAGTACATATTTTTATGTATATCTGGCTTTCTGTCTGAATGTTACGCCTTCAGCCTATTCTATCTGTCTATAAAATATTATCCAAAAATATACAATATTCTATTCTATATGGTGGTAGGGCCACGCAGCAGCCTCGGCTGTTGCACGAACGGGCATACCCATCCGGGTAAGTACCACGACCTCACAGAAGACCAGCGTAAAGTGGAAGTATGACAAATACTTTCGCATTTCGTCTGGTGAGTGAGGTAGCCGGAGCCCAATTTCCAAAAAGGTTGTCAACGCATCTGTAACCCTCGGGTGTAGCAGATGTCCATGGGCGGCGGTATTCACTTAACATCAGGTGACCCGTCTGCTCGTTTGGCAACATTTCGCTTAAAAAAAATATATATAAAAAAAGTCGCCAAAAAAGTCATGACCGTAGTATTGGAGCCCCACTTAAAAGTTCTCTTTTTTATTCTGTTTTTTAGTATTTCTTGTTATAGCGGCAAGAGAAATACATCATCTGTGGAAATTTCAACTGTCTAACTATCACGATTCATGAGATACAGCCTGGTGACAGACGGACAGACATACTTTTACTAAGGATAGAGTCTCGTTTTACCCTTTGGATACGGAACCCAAAAAAGACGAAACTATTTGCGTCTGTCGGCAACTGCTGGCCGTACCTTCAATGTGAATTGTTAATAAATTGATTAAATCGAATGAAGTCATCTAGTTTATTTTTCTATCTTTATTGTTAATAGACTTAACGGGTCGATTGGAAATATCGATGGATCGGCTGAAGACTACGGTTTTCAGCTTAATCTTTGTAATATCATAGATATTCAGCTGTTTTGGATTATAATTGATTGCTTCAGCTCAGTTCCTCCACGTTTACAAAAAATACTTTTTATTACTGTAATAATAATTTGCTCTCGCATCAACTGATAGATAATTTCACACGTTCAGATTCGATACTAGGTATATAAAATAGTGCATAGATGTATTAGTAGATACTAGTCTAACATCAAAATCCATTTGTATATTTGCACACATTTATGTTAGATATAACAAACAAAGGAGATGAATTAATGGTAAAAGTAAATCAGGTCAAGATAACATCACAACAATATAAGCGCTAGCCAATGCGGTTTTATAACAAAACTATAAGAGTAAAATAACAATTAACTTTCTACAAAGTTGATAAATATAGTGACATATTTCTCCACGCCGTCTGGGCGTCGGATAAAATCTTATTTACTGCAAATTGGGCATTTAACATGCGCTTTTTACGGTTATCTCCCTCGGTACCATTTCAACGCGGGTAACAGTTAAAGTAACTCGTCGCGAGTATAAACCTTGGACTGTCTACTGAACGTTAATTTAGCATAAGTGCGAGCGACAATGTCGTCCATAAGGATCGGCGAGCGCCCGAGAAATTCTCATTATCATAAATTCAATTAGGAATCTTCATATTTACTGTACAGTTTCGAAGGCGTCTAGAAAGAAGCATTACAAAAGTCTGTTCTGTTTATACGAATAATCTGATATTACTTAAGAGGATCGAATCAATTAGTCTGAATCTAAGGAATTCATTTTGATTTCTGAACCAAAGAATACCAAATTTGGTTAATCACAGAAGATTGGCGTGAAGTGGGGATATTTTTCGCGTTTCGTCTGGTGAGTGAGGTAATCGTGGCCAACTTTTCTGTTGGGTGTCAACGCATCTGCTACCCGCCAGGTACTGTAGATGCCTATGGGCGGTTGTAATGATTTAACATTAGGTGAACCGCCTGCTCGCTTGTCAAATTTTCAAATAAAAAAACATTACCGTTTAGATGAGAGATGCAGATATATTTCATTTCGGTGTTACCCACACAAGATTTTTTAACCGACTTCAAAAAAGAAGGAGGTTTCTCAATTCGACCGTATGTATTTTTATTTTTTTTATGTGTGTTCGCGGAAAACTTCCTCGTTAATGAACCGATTTTGATGTTTACTTTTTTGTTGGAAAGAAAATATCCCAACGGTGGTACCATGATAAGGAAACCCGGATCTGATGATGACATTTTTATTTTATTTTATTTTATTGGGGATAACAAACAGCTACAATATATGATATGAACAGATCTGTTGCGTTGATGTAGTAATAATATTACAGCCCACTACATTATCCACGTATTAAACATACAATATTATTTTAATGAAAGCTACTAGATACGTTACAAAAATAAAAATAAAAAAAACAATAACAAATAGCACAAAGATAAAAAAAAAGAACACTTCAAGAATACAAAAATACAAATATACATAATTATTAAAAAGTATAGCTTAACTTATTTAATTTGGAAACTATTTGGTTCTTATACTTAGATTTAGAGCATTCAAATATATCAATATCAACAAAATTGGAGTTATATGATTTAAGCATACGTTGTATAGGACATCGTAGTCCTGAGTTTGTTCGGCAAGTATTGATGGCAAAGAGAGTGCCCGGGCGAACTGTTCGTTTATGGGTAGTACGAGGAACTACATAGCAAATCTTATTTGTTAAATCAATGCAATCTAAGTTGTTGTGCACAATACAATATAACACATTAGCTTCTAAATATGTACGTCTTGCCTCAAGTGATAGCAATTTATAGTTGTTTAATAATTGTGAATATGATAAATTGGATTTCTTACATCTATATTGCATGGAGCGAAGAAACTTTCGTTGGACCTTCTCAATCTCGTTTACATATTTGTAGTAAAAAGGATTAAAAAGGACATCCTAGAGAAATCAAGAGCAATCCTCAAATGTTATAGTTATCAACAATTATTTTTAGTTACGTATAACTAATAATACAAAGAGGTAAAAGAAGAACTCCACTAGTGCGTGTCTCCACAATTAAAAGAAAGATGAATAGATGATGTCGTGATGGACGAATGCAGCAATTTAGCCTACATTTTTAAAGCATTTAACGTGTCTTACTCCATGTTGATTTTATGCGTTTTCATATTGTAAGGTCATTTGTTAATCACTACATAGTATAAAACAAAGTCGTCCCGCTGTCTGTCTGTCCATATGTATACTTAGATCTTTAAAACTACGCAACGGATCTTGATGCGGTTTTTTTATTAGATAGAGCGATTCAAGAGGATGGTTTATATGTATAAGAGCATTGCACCCGTGCGAAGCCGGGGCGGGTCGCTAGTTGTGAATAATTAACTTGGATGAACTAACACGACTACCACCGATCATCCGACGAGCGCAGCGACCTTTTTTTAATATATGCTTTCTGATAGCACCGCTCATTTTTCGGCCTTTTAAGACCCGATCGCGCAAAACGGTGTGGTCAATTTTAATCTGTGACAAATCACACAACATGGCGTCCGTGTCGGCAGTACAAGAGGCGTTTTGTCGCTGACTCACTGCCTCGCGCGCGTACAAAACGTTTATTGCAGCAAGATTACGTTTGCGACAAACGTTTGTGTTCAGCGTGCGGTTGTTACAAAACATTTTCCCGCGCTCCGGCATTAACGCGTTAATTAATAGAGCGAAAATGTTGTTTAAAATTAGCGTGCTATGGGCGATTTTGCCTTAACAGACGCTTTAATGGGTACATTAATTTAGTAATAAGAGGCCGATGTATAGAAAGGCGGATTGATGCCCGTTCCGGTTTATTCACGCGGCTAATAAATTGTGATTTATGTTCAACGGTTCGTAATTGATTCATTCTCTTATTACTTGCGACGTTCCGCTTAATTTTACGGTATAACCAGTACATCTAGCCATATGTATTATCATACAAGCTTTTTCCATACGTCCACCTGTTCGTTTGTCGATATATTTACCTGACCTCACCTGACCTTTTTAGCAAATAAGTTATTTACCCAAGTTATAGTCTACGTTACGAAAGACCAAAATGTGCTTAAAATAGACCTATAGAAATGGGATTACGGAAGCAGCAAAAGAGCAATCATGCGATCCTTCATAAAGTGGGGCGCAAGAAGTTATTAATAGTCACAATTATTATGTCACTAACTTTTTACTACCTAAATGCAATCTCTGACCTTTGGTGACAAGTATAATGTGTTGTAAGTGTTAAATTTAGCAAGCGATTTGTTCACCTGATGTTAAGTAATGTATACAACAGAGAGATCGTTGGCGTTCCTAACCCTTAAAAGTGTGAGCCCTATTACCTGACTCTCCAGTCTTAGCACAAAAGTACAAAACTTCCATATACAACGATGTCTTGTTCGGACGCGGTACTTCCCCGGATGACCTGCCCCTTCGTGTAACAGATGTTGCCGCGTTGATTGACCACAAAAAATTAAATAAATATGAAATACCTCTACTTTATATAGCCTGAGTCTGTATTAAATGTCGTGAACTGTCGAGACGAAACGAAGATGCAAAAGTGATTGATTCATTTGGCTATTAAAAACAAAACTAGTTAGAAATCGGACCGATCGCGACGCCTACACAGTCGTGCGAGTTCTACGTCAGATGGAATTTTTTTTAAGCCGTTCGAAATAAGCGAGTGCTCATCATGGCTTGTTTGTTTTCGGCCGGTGTTTTTATTTTCTCCATTTGCTCATCTAAATGCGTTTCTGGCAACGGGAAGGAAGCGACGCGACGTCGCTTTTGAAACGTCGGAAGAGCTTTCGGAGCGCTTTCTAAATCCGATCTTACGTCTCATGGAATACGGTTTACATTCGACTGTCAAATTTTACGCTTTAGCCTGTGTAATGCCTGTCCCTAGCACCGATACTTTCGTCACCCCGCTTCAGTTTGGCTCTTTTTGACATGTGGTTCGGCCACGAAACGTTTGGACAGGACCTCTTTCGATCATTCAATAGTATGATTTACTTTCTTCTCTTAAATAGCCACTCTTTGTAATTGGCGTATTTGTAAGGTTAGAAGAGGCCCAAAGAATATAAATAAAAGACATTATGAAGAATGTACAAAATAGAATAGTATTTTTTAAGTTAGACTTTTTTGGCGCGGTTGGAAAAATCATGAGAGTAAAGTTATTACAATGAACGCGCACACCGACCCTCAAAACGTGACATGATTGCCATTAACCAATAAAATCATCTTGGCAACCAATAACAACTTTTTGACATTTGCCAATAATTCGAAGTTATTTAAATAAACCGTGATCAAGCATTGAATGTCTTTACGTATTTTACGCAAATACTTTTTATATTTAGTTTCAATGTAAAGTTTGAATGAAAAGCTAAATAAAAAAATTGCAAATAAATGATATAACGTTAATTGGGGATAAACGACCTATACATATATTAACTAAACAAATATTACAATGGAATGGTATAAAAAAAACGAACACATTCGCCTTAAGAGTCGAAAACCAGCGATGCGACCCATTCTCACAAAACGTGTTATACTTTAATTTTTTGTTTTATTTATTTGTTTATTCAAATAATATGATACAAACATATAACATTCATCTGTTTTCAATAACTAGAAGTAAAAATACTCATACTACCAATCGTCTTATTTGGCACTAGATAGCGTTAAATTTTGTCACATCATGTTTAAATAAAAAAAAAATAAAGTACACAAGTACACAGTCATTTCGGTGACACAAATAATTTTAAACTGTACATTTCATGTACATCTGTTTTACGTAACAATGAATAAGTAAAAAAAATCAAGATTTTCCCAACTCCCAAGTCTCAGTGCTCCCGTCGCACGGTTGACAGATTAAACGGTCAGCAGGAATCAAAGAGGCACCCGAATTGCGGCGGCCGCGTTTCGCAACGCTTCCTCCGCCGTGGCAGATTTCGAACTTTGTTTAGTCTACGGCTTTGCCACCGCTATCACCGATTTCTGGTCATAACCGAAGATCTATTTAAAGCGCCCGCATTTTCGCGTATGTTATTCAATCAATGATAATTATATACAAATACAAGGTAGATGAGAGCCATGATAGCTCAGTGTCCGGGCGCTCGCCTTTAATTCAATATATACTCGAGCAACCTGAGTTCGATCCCCGGTGCCAGCACAAATGAAGTTTTTAACTTTAAGTGCTGAATTATCACGTGCTCCACGGTGAAGGCAAACATCGTGAGGAAACTTGCATATTTTCGAAATACTACCAAAAAAAAATGTATTTCGAAGATATGTGAAGTCCGCCAATCCGCAGTGGGGCCGCGTGGTGGACTATGCCCTGATACGCTCTGTATAGAGGAGGCCTATGCCCAACTGTGGGACATGTATAGGCTGTTACTTTACGAGGTAGATATGACACTAGTGCATCGATACTGAAGCGCTCAAATAGCGCCAAACGGTGTAATTAAATTGCAATTCACTAGACTGCTATCGCTTTCCGTATCCTATATCGTCTGTCACATTCATTTATAGATGTAAACTTAACATCAGGTAAATCACAAGCTCTTTTGCCACCTTCTCACATAAAATACACATTTTAAGCCCTCCTGTTGCCAAACGGTTCTTTATAGCCAGGTAATAAGAATAATCGAGGAGCCGTTACCCCGCGGAGTATTTTAAACACGATTTATATTTTCCGATAGCCTTTGAACGGCGTGTTAAATATACACGGTATCTGACGACTTGATTGCATGCGTATTCTTAATGCATGCATCACGCATCCTGATCGAAAGATAAGATACGTTATTCGGTTGTTAATGACACCGGTTAAGGGCTGATTTCACCATACTGTGTTAGTTTATGTTTTTTTTTTAATGTCTTGTAAAATTGATTAACAGACTCTTAAGAGAAATGAATGATCTATATATATTACGAACGAATAGTTAGTTGAGCAATTTGTATTCTGCAGTCTCCCGGGAAGTGACAATTATCCGGTCTTTTTATGGAGAAAAGGGGCAAACGAGCAGGAGGCTCACCTGATGGTAAGTGATTACCGCCGCCCATGGACACCTGCAACACCCGAGGGTTCACAAATGCGTTGCCGTCCTTTTCAGAAAGAATATGCTCTCTTCTTGAAGGTTCCTAGGTCGTAACGGTTCGGAAAGACCGCCGGCGGCAGGTGGTTGCACAGAGTGGTTGTGCGAGGCAAGAAATGCTTTGAAAACACAACTGTGGTACAGAAGGTTTTATTTAAGCCTAACCTTACAGCAGTACAACGATGGGTACTTTTTAAATAGATTCGAACGGGCAACCCCGAGTCGGAAGTACGCCGTCCCTGCCACTGGTGCATAACGCTCGTAACAAGATAAGCGGATAGGCCACTTCGCAGGTCGTGATACGACTCTAATGGAAATGCCAAACGGCGCGTCATAAATATTGTTCGGCCGTTGCGGATCGGATGGCTTTTGAACCGGAGCACGACCTCAGTTTCGACACCAGCCCAGCTAAGCGTTTCCAGTTTCCTCCGTGTTATGTTTGTTCAGTTTACATTATATTATACCCTTTTGAAGTGAAACTTCTAACGCGACTTCCAACAAGGTTGCGTTAAACGTTTAACGCTAGGGCGTATGAAAGCACTGCTGCGTTAAACGTTAAACGCTCCTACGGAGGGGGAATAGAAAGAGACAGAGCGAGAGCGAATGCGCTCGAAGTTGTACTTCTTCCGCGCGGAGGGACTTTCGCCACTTCTTCTCGGGTCACTGGTTTATAATGCTTTACTTGTTACTTTCTTTATTTGAGAAGGTTGTTAGCGAACTGTTTCAGAGTCCACCTGATGTTAAGGGATAACCGCCCATTGGTATTTGTAATACCCGTGGGATTATAAATGCGTTGACACCTTATAACAAAGTGGGCCCCGGCTACCTCACTCACCAGATGACACGCAGAAGTATAACACCTCCATTTCACGTCGGTCTTCTGTTAGGTCGTGGTACTCACCCGGACGGACCTGCCCATTCGTGCAACATCGAAGACTGTTGCGTGGCCCTACAACAGTTGCTTTGAAATTATATATTTATATATACCTTTTACATAGAAGCATTACACTTACGTAAATTATTATCAAAATTCTATTAATAACGGTTCGGAAGAGAAAAGAGAGGAACCGGCGAAAGAAACTCAGCGGGTCAATATTTTTGGATAGCATCTACATACATGTTCAATTACTAGGCATAGATATTGTCAAGGTGTTGAGCAGGCAAAGTCGTTGGCGGACTAGTGTATAGTGAAGTGCGGCAAAAACCTATACTGCCCATCTCGCAATTGGACGGGTGGCGATTTTACATAATTAAACGATAAAATTCAAGTGCCCTATCTATGCATGTGTTCGTCGGCATTAGCGCGGCTTTATTTATAGCGATTTATATTTAGTGCGACGTTTTTAAACGCTGTGAACGGCCCTAAGCATTAAAGTATCTCACGCAGCGTTATCCCTTTTGTGCGTTTTTTGTTAACTGTTCCCGAATCGTGAGATCTTACTTTCAGTTTCTTTTTATTTATTATACATTAGGCACAGACTAGCACAAAAGCGGACTCTACCAATCGAATTTTCTACCATTCAGCCTTAGGTTGGTGTAAAGAAAGTTCTTTTTTTTATGTGAAAAGGTAGCAAACGAGCAAGC